GGAGGGAACATCTGTGTCACAGGCGAAGGAAGAGGAGGACTGAAAAATGACCACTGGATTTAGCAAGGTGGACGTCTCTGGTGACTTTGGCAAGGGCAATTTCTGTGGAGCGGTAAGGCAAAGTCCAACTGAAGTGGGTTTAAAAGAGATGGGGGTCGGGGAGGCTGGCCTGGTGGTGCAGTGGTTAAGTTCACGCGCTCCACTTCGGCGGCCTGGGGTTTGCAGGTTGAGATCCCAGGTGCAGACCTACACGCTGTTCATCAAGCCATGCTGTGGCAGTGTCCCACATACAAAATAGAGGAGGATTGGCACAGATCTTAGCTTAGGGCCAATCTTCCACAAGCAAAAAGAGGAAGATGGGCAACAGATGTTAGTTCAGGGCCAATCTTCCTCACCCAAAAAAAAAAAAGAAAAAGAGAGAGAGAGACAAGGGAAGGACTGCCTGTCTTCTGCCTATGAAAGAGTAACTGTTATGGGCATGCCCTTCTACCATAAACAATGAGAAAACCAAAGAAAAGATACCAAATAGGTCTTATCAGACAGTTGACAACAGGCAGCGCAGGACTGTGATCCTTGAGAGATGGGAAACAAGTGACATGAGCTCTGAGATCACCCTGGCTTTCTTTCAGGAAGCAATTTCTGGACAACAGCACAAGGAGGTAAGCCCAAACAGAGCCTGGGGGGTCTTGCTGAAATGAAAACACGTCCACACAAAAATGTACACACAAGTGTTCAGGGCAGCTTTAGGTATAGTCGGCAAAAACTGGAAACAACCCAAATGTCCATCCCCAAGAGAATGGAAAAACAAATTGCGGCATACTCACACAATGGCATACTACTCAGGAATGAAATGAACTACTGATAAAGGCAACAACATGGACAAATCTCAGAAGCATGCTGAGAAAAAGCAGCCAGACAGGAAAGAAAATACAAACCACATCCACAGGGATAGATCAGTTGTTGTATGGGGTGAGAATGGAGTAGGGGTTGCAGTGGCATGCGGGGTAAGGGGCTGACTGGGAAGTGACCCAAGATAAATTTTTAGCATGATGAAAATTTCTTTATCACGGTTATTATGGTTGCAAGGGTATATACATTTATCAAAACTCATGGAACTGTACCCTCAAAAATGGGTACACTGTACTGTATATAAATTATACCTCAATAAAGTTTATTTTAAAAAAAGATTCCAGGGCCGGCCCCGTGGCTTAGTGGTTAAGCGCGCGCGCTCTGCTGCTGGCGGCCCGGGGTTCGGATCCCGGGCGCCCACCGATGCACCGCTTCTCTGGCCATGCTGAGGCCGCATCCCACATACAGCAACTAGAAGGATGTGCAGCTATGACATACAACTATCTACTAGGGCTTTGGGGGAAGAAAAATAAATAAAATTATAAAAAAAAAAAAGATTCCAGGCAGAGTTCTGCTTCCAGTAACGGTGGACTGGCTAATTTTGACCACCTCTCTTGCTAAGAAAACCAGAACAAAATATTGGGGGGTTGGGGGTTGGGTTGCTCAAAGATATTCCTGTGGAGCTAACAAAGCAGTAAAGAACTAGAAAGTAACGATTAGGGATAAGGAAATCCAGAGAGGGAAGTCTGACATTTGGGGCTTTTTTCCCCATTGAGTGTGTCAATGGCAATAGAAGAGGCAGCTGAGAGGCTGAGAAACTTGAGATTCAAGGAATGTTAAATGTTTTTAAAAAGAGAGAATAGGAGAATTGAAATCAATATGCAAAGAAAATTTTGAGTTTTGCAGTAAAGGAGAGCAGAAGCATCAGGAAGTAGCAGTAGATGAGGTAAATGGGGTCAAGAGAAAGTTTTAAAATTAGTTTTTAAATGATTTTTTGAGTAGGATACAATGCGCATAGTACAAAATTTTAAAGGTAGAAAGGGACTATAGTAAAAGCTAAGTTTTCCTCTGATCCTATTCCCCAGTCACTCAGCTCCCCTCCCTAGAGCCAATCACTGTTATCAGTTTCCTAAATACTTTTCTGGAGATAGTCTATGTATATAAAATATATACAGAATAGATATTTTAGAGATATTCTGTGTGTATCAACCTCAGCACCACTGACAATTTGGGCCAGATAATTCTTTGTGGTTGCAGGCTGTCTTATGCACTGCAGGATATTTAGCAGCATCCCTGGCTTCTACCCACAAGATGCCAGAAGCACCCCCAACCCCCAGATGTGACAACCAAAAATGGCTCCAGACATTGCCAAAATCACCTGCAGCTGAGAACCACCAGCGCAGACCCAAGCACACACACACATACTATTTCCTATATTTTTTCCTACAAACGCATGCCACACACACTGTTTTTCATCTTCCTTTTTTTACTTTATAATATTGGAGATCATCCATCAGTAGTATAGAGATTTCAAATTTAATTATATCTTGCTATCATTAAGTATAGTTATTCATAATGTTCATTATCTTAAGTGCATTCTATTTTTTTATTTGGGGAGAAAGCACTTTAATTTCCTTAATGACACCTAAGAATAGCCTAAGTATCAGGCGAAAATCCATCCATCTGAAAGTATCACTCTTACTTGGTGGCAGTATATCCTAATTACTAAAGTAATAGGAGTTCTAGCTCTGTAAACAACAATGATGATAAAGACTACAGCAGTTAATACTTATTAAGTACTTACTATGTTTTAGGCAGTGTTCAAAGTACTTTAGTTGTATTAATATATTTAATTCTCACAACAACCTTCTAAGGATAGTACTATTAGCCCCATTTCACAGAAGAGGAAACAAAGGAACAGAGATAGTAATTTATTCAAGGTCACACAAGTAGTAAGCATCAGAATCAGGATTCAAATTCAGGCAGGCTGGCTTGGTGTTCACCTCTAAACCACTACGCTCTATTACTTCTTCAGTCAAAACCTATCAATCTTAAACCAGCATGTTTACTTCATCTCTATGTTTCTATTGAGTTCAATTGTGATCCTGAATACAAAGATGTTTTTGTTTATAATTAGTAAGGACTAATGTCCTTGAATTTTCCTACTGTATATATCCTGCATTTCCTAATACCATTCCAGTCAGAGTTTTCACAAAGCACTTTCCTTATGTTGGCCTTTGGCTAACAAATTACCATCCTTTATATTAGGACTACATATAGAACTATTAAGATAGTTCTAATACTTATAGCATGGGTAAAGAAAACTGTCCAAGTCATAGATTCCAACAAGAAGTCCAATCTGACTAGAGAATATACAGAGTACCCTTCCCTGCATGCTTTTGGGCTCACTCCCATACATAGCCCTGCAATAAATCTTCCTACAGTTAGGTGTGCACAGTAATTTTACCAGACAATCACCAACATATCCTGCTCATTACCTCCAAAGCAGAGATTATGTCTCACAACTACATATCCTCAAGTCTAACTTGGTATCCAGAACACAGATCAATAAATGTTTGCTGAACTCAAGTCAATGAAATTAATTTTTAATTTCATCCCACCAAGTTCTTTCTCTTTAATCTAACAAACATCTTTTGACTATTCACTACATGCCAAACATTGCAACACAAGGATAGAAAGAAATTCCTTATAAAAATGTTTGCAGAATACAACTCAACAACAAAAATACAACCTGATTTAAAAATGGGCAAAGGACTTGAATAGACATTTCTCCGAAGAAGACACAAATGGCCAACAAACACACGAAAAGCTGCTCAACATGACCAATCATTAGGGAAATGCAAATCAAAACCACAAGGAGATATCACCTCACACCCATTAGGATGGCTACTATCAAAAAAACAGAAAATAACAAGTGTTGGCAGGGTGTGGATAAACTGGAACCCTTGTGCACTGTTGGTGAGAACGTAAAATAGTGCAGCCACTATGGAAAACAATATGCTGTTTCCTAAAAATCTTAAAAACAGAACTACCATATGATCCAGCAATCTCACTTCTAGGTATATACCCAAAAGAATTGAAAACAGGGACTTGAAGAGATACTTGCATACCCATGTTCATAGCAACACTATTCATAATGGCCCAGAGGTGCAACCCAAGTGTCCAGCGGTGAACGAATGGATAAACAAAATGTGGTATATACATACAATGGAATATTATTCAGCCTTAAAAGGAAGTGAAGCTACAACATTGGATGCTACAGCATGGACGAACCTTGAGGACACGGGAGCACAACAATGTGAATGTACTTATGTCACTGAACTACACACTTAAAAATGGTTAAGATGGTAAATTTTATTTTATGTGTATTTTACAGTTTTTAAAAAAATGTTTGCAGAAGAGATAATAGTCTAGACTTCTTCATGAACATCAAGCAGAATTAACTGAAGTTATGTCCTTACCTTTCAAATAACCATGTGACAAAAAACTTTCTTTAAACTAAAAAATAATACCAAAGGCCCTCAAGTTTGAGGAGTATACCATCCGTGCCCTTCCCCCCAGCAGTATTATCTTTTTGTTTATTTAATATGGAAAGCCCAACGTTCAGTTGTTTCATTTCTAATTCCTACAGCTTGAGAATACAATTTCTAGTACTGAGCCCCCTGCAACAAATTTTACTATATCTGAGCAATCTGAACCTCTTACATGAATTAAAAGGTAAAACCAATTTCACTTGGCAGAATCAGTACAGAAAGGGCCTTCTATTAAGCCTTCACTGGATGCTCGTTTATGTCCCATTTGATATTGCTGGTTTTGTATTTTAAAAACATCTTTTGAGTCACACTAAGGATCTGTGGAAAGATCACTTTACTATTTGAGGTGTAAACTGAATAGATTCATCTTGTCACTCTCAAACTCTTAATGGGAAAAAAGTGTTTGCTTATGACTAAAGGTTCATTCAAAGAAAGCACCATTAAAATATAAACAGAAATGAGTATTTGTAATAGATTCAATCAATTAACTTTCAAATATATGATACTTACAGTAAAAAGATATAAATCTAAATAATAAATCTATTTATTATATACATAAATATAAATCTAATGGATAAAAAGCAAAAGTTTCCCTACCTGCTGTTTCCTGCCCATGGCAAGTGTTCAGTTCAGCCAGAAGCTGGTTAAAATCATCTTGATGAGCAATCCAGTTGTCCTGAAAATATCAAAAAATCAATTAGAGGCAAGCCTGTCGTTTACCTACACTGATTGAGATAAGATACATTTTGGAATCAAGGAAATCTGGTAGTTAATGTGAAATTTTAAACATTTCATCAACATATTATTTTATAAATTTGATTGAAAAAGAAATAATATAACTTTGAAATGTAATTTATCTATATCAGTAATAAAAATGGGTTTCTTGGAAGCCTAAGTCCTGATTTCAAATGTGGATAACTTATCAATAGTCAACTTATAGTCAAATAATCAACAGGCAACCGGTGTGCTAAATATTAGAATAAGGCAAAATAAAAAGATTATTGCTTTCTCACTTAGGGAAAATTATGTAGGTCAAAGGGAAAAAACAGTGATGGATTTGGGGTGTCTCTTCTTTGCTCACAGGAGTTGAAAATAGTTTGCCTAATTCTATTCGCTTGCATCCATCCCAATTTTACAAAACAACATTGGGGAAGGGAAGAGGAAGGACTCCAAGTTTCCTGAATCAATCAGCAGCCGTTTGTAAGGTGGTCAGCTAATAAGTTCATTACAACAAAGAGAATCTGGCTTTAAAAGAGAATGAACATCTCTAAAACAATATAAAGCAGTGGGAAGCAGGGTTTCAATTTAGGAATTTGCCTCACACATACACTTTTTTTTTTTTTTTTTTTAATTTTTTGTTTATTGCAGTAACATTGGTTTATAACATTGTAAAAATTTCAGGTGTACATCATTGTACTTCTATTTCTGCAT